TTGAACATCCATCGATTCTGAGTCGCCGCCGGCGTTCAACGCTGAACTCCGGCGGCGGGGTCGCCGCTGGTCGACACGACACGAACCTACCGTATGCCTGGCAAATTTGGGCGTGGCTTCATGGGGGGGTCACAAATAGGGGGGTCAGAAACGGTCCCCTTTCGTGCCCCTTTCGGGCCCCTCCGGAGCCCCAGGGGGCTCGTTTAGGCACCGTTTGGGTACCTTTTCGGACCACCCTCGCCACCCCCCCATTTATGACCCCCCTATTACGCAACGCCCAACAAATGACGCTCCAGCCACCGCCGGGCACAGCCGGCGCGCCAAAGCGAGGGCGCGCCCGCAGGGCACGGAGGGGCCCTCCCGGCCACGGCGGGCCTCGGCCACGGCCGGGCTCCCCGGCCCGGACCCCTGCCGAGTCCAGAGGGGTCCTCCTTTCGAGCGCCTCCTCTTCCTCCTCCTCCTCATGGTCCTGTTCCTCCTCCTCCTCCTCCTCCTCCTCCTCCTCCTCCTTTGCCTGTTCCTGCTCCTCCACCTCCTCCTCCTCCTGAGTCCAGAGTGGTCCTCCTTTCATCGCCTCCTCCTCCTCCTTTTCCATTTCATGATTTTCCTCCTCCTTTTCCTTTCCTTTTCCTCCTCCTCCTCCTCCTCCTCACGTCCGCCTCCTCCTCATCCTCCCCGTGCTGAGTCCAGAAACGTCCTCCTTTTGTTCAGCGCCTTGGCTGTACATGCAGAAAGGAGCTATGCACCACCACCGTGCCAGGCCAGGGCCGTGCTGGGCCCTAGGATGGTGTATACGCCCACCTGGCCCAGGCCAGGAGGGTCTATACACCATCCTGGGGCCCAGGATGGCCCTGGCCTGGTACGGTGGTGGTGTGTAGATGCCTTCGTCGGAGCTGTGTATAGCTCGTTTTCGGCGGCGAGCGAGGGGGGAAGTGAGAAGGGGCGGGCCTTCTCAGAAAGGCTCGGATGTCCCCCGGCGGCCTTTCGAGAAGTGTTCTAAACCTTCCCTGAAAACGCAGAAAACCTCTCAGACGGCGCGAGGTCTTCTCAGAAGTCCCGCCACCCTCCGAGAAGGCCTTCTCCTTCTCCCTTTCCCGCCTCGCTTGCCGCCGGCGTTTGCCCATCGGACCGAGCGTGTGCTGGGGCCGTCAGGCAGGCAGGCAGGCATGGGAACATCCAAGGGTACCCTTAGGTCGGGCATGTCCCCCTACATGCGGATCTTGGTCGAAAAAAATGAATAGCCCAAAACTAGCCCCCCCCCCAGGAAAAATACGGGAAACATTCTTCTATGCTTGGACATTCCTCCTGTAGAGGGGCATGCCCGACGTAAGGGTACCCTCCCCAGGGTGCAGAAGAACATCCAACAGACACGACGAGCATGAAGTCGGCGGCGCGCACGACAAGGACGCAGGGGAAAGGGGAAGGCTTCTTAGCAGGAGGCTGCTTCTTACAAGGCGCCGCGGCTTCTGGGAAGCAGGGGTGCTTCTAAGAAGCCTTCCCCCCTCCCCTACCGCCCCCCCCTGCGCGTGACTGCATGAAGGTACCATCCCGAAATCGACCTCGATCTGACAAGCGCGCTTCACTACTCGACAAATAGCTGCTCGCAGATGGCCTGGATTCCTTTTGGACGCCCGAGATGGGTACGGAAAAAATGAATACAATGCCCAACAGCAAGTGTTGTCCAAAACCAACAGCGGCCGCTGTTGGACAGGCGGCCTTCTGTTTCAAATGGACACAGGCCGCGGCGGCGAGGACAGCGAGTCCGGTTCAAAATGAACAGGAACTGCTGCTGAGCTTTGTGCCCATCCTTTCCCTGCCCATCTCGTTCGTGCACATGGATCCGCCGCGGGGGATCCACGATGAGTTACCTCGTAGCAGACACGTGCTGTTCGGACGTCTGCAGGTGGGCACCCTGCGAGCAAAGGGAACGCGTCCGGTGAGATCTTATAGACCCCGGCCCGACTGCAGGCACCCGGCGAGCAAGCCTCTGAGACCTGCCGGCCCGCGAGCACGTGGGGGCGGGCCGCCGCTGGGGGGGGCTCCCCGCGGGCCCCAGCGGGGGGGCCGCAGCCGCGCCGCGGAGCGGGCGGAGGCCCCCCATTGGAGATCTACAGTCGAGCCTAGGCCAAAAGGACGTCCCTCAAGCAGAGCCCTCCTCCTCCTCCTCCTCCTCCTCCTCCTCCTCCTCCTCCTCCTCCTGCTGCTGCTCCTGCTGCTCCTCTTCCTCCTCCTCCTCCTCCTCCTCCTCCTCCTCCTCCTCATCCTCTACCTCCGCCTCCTCCTCCGCCTCCTCGTTGGGGTCGGAGTAGACGGGGTCGGTGGATCGCGCCGCAGCGGCGATGCGGCGCGGTTACTCCGACGCCACCTGCTCGGACCCCAGCCGTGAGGCCTGGATCAAGACCATGAGACCCTCCGCCGGCCAAAGCACGCACACACACAGAGAACATCCGAGGTTGTCCCCCCCCAGGCTTCACACGAGCATCCACCAAGCACGGAGAATAGTAGGTACCCTTCCAGAACCGACTTCGATCTGAAGGACATTCGAGGGTACCCTCTCCAGGTTGCACAAAAAGCATCCAACAGACACGAAGCACCCTCCCCGGGTCGACCTCGGTCTTATACCTGGGCCCGACTGTACTGAGCCTGGTCAATCCAAGCCCAGGTCAGTCGGGCTTTGCAAGATCCTGCAGGATCAAGATCCTGCGCGATGGCCCGGGTCAGCGGGCTATACAGGGTCCTGCATGATCCGGAGCTCTGGCTGACGCCCGTCTGCATTGACCCCCGTCTCACGGCTCCCGACCTCCGAGGTGCGGACGAAACCCGGTCGCGAACGCGGATCACAGCGTGACAGGCCTCGCGCTGGCCGCAAGATGGCCCCAGGATGGCGCAGCATTGCCCAACCCCAAACGATCCTCGCAGACCTCATCGACTACCCAAAGTGGACGAAAAGCCCTCCCAAGGGATACACCAAAACTATCCAAGCCAATCACACAGTGGTGGTGATGTGTTTGGCTGTCTCGCCTCTCCCCCGACGGGCTTCTGAGGCCAAGATCCCCCAAGATCGTCAAAGGTTGATCCAAGATATCCCAGGATAGCCTTAGGTCGGGCATGTCATCCTACAGGCGAATTTTTGGACGACAAATAAAACCTAGTCAAACCGTTTTCAGAAAGCAAAAAACAATAGTCCAAGCATCGCCCCAAGAGTATCATTTTTGACTCCTCCTGTAGAGGGAAATGCCCGACTTAAAGATAGCTCCGAGTCGAGCCCAGACGGGCTCTAAGGAGGCCCAGTGACCCCCAAGAGCGCCTCAGGACCGCCCCAGGAATTCTCAAAAGGGCCGTAAAAGGGCCACATGAGCGACCCGAGGGCGGGGATCAATGGTTGACAAGTCCAATATGGACCCAAGACAGCCCTAAGAGGCCCCCAGATACGCCCAAGGCGACATAATATGGCTTCCGATAATACCCAGCTGCGTCAAAATGCATGCTGCGTTGTTCAAAGGGTGCGGGGCGCTCGCCTTTTCGTCCCCAATCGGCTTCTGACACCGAAGCACGGCTATCAGATCGCCCAAGATAAATCCCAGTGAAGCCCAGAGGGGACCCAAGAGGGGCCAAGTACTTCCGACGGCGCGCCAACCCAGGCCAATCCCAAGAGGCCCCAAGATTGCCCACATGTTGTTAAACTGATCCTCCAAGACAGATCATCATCCTTCCTCTGACACGTCGACGGCAATGACATAACTTCGGGAGGCAGTCATAGCCCAGAACATCTGAAGGCATGCCGAGCGGGATGGGCATCGTTTAACAGACCCCTATCCCCATGAACGTGGCCTGGGTGGGGGTATAGGCCGTGCCCTTCGGGTTCCGAGGTGTGTGTCCCCAACTGGGGTGTTAGGATGCTGAGGGTCTGGATGGGGATGGGGATGGGGATGGGGATGGGGGTTGGTGAAGCGATACCGACGGGAGGACCCATCGAGCGCCGCGGCCCTCCCAGATCGCCACGGAGCCGCTCCGGCTCCACGACGCGCTGCAGCCCGGGGCTCTCCTCTCCCAGGGCGCGCCTGCCTGCTCATCCCGCCCCTGCCCCTCTGACAGGGAAGCTGTCAGGGGGAGCCCAGGCCAGGGGGGTAAACATCGTTCGTTAGGCTCCAAACAATAGGAACCGAGCATCTATACAGGTCCACCTCCTCCCTTCTCCCTCCCCACCTCTTGCTTTGAGGGTGTGCCTGCTTCCTGGGAGGAGGAGGAGGAGGAGGTGGAGAGGGAACAGGGTAGGGCTGCAAAATGGTCGTCCTCCGACACAGCGAATCTGCAGGCTCCTGGGCCGGGTGGGCGATGGTGCGCCTATCGGCGATCAGTGGGCGATTGTGGTCGATACATCCCCCCTACGTCCCTGAGCCTAATATCCTTCGGTCGGGCATGTCCTCCTGCAGGCGGAATTGGTAGAAAGACCAGAAATAACCAAACAATACCCGAAAATGTCAAAACATAAAACAAGTCGTCCCCAGATCATGTTTAGACTATTTTTGAAGATTCCTCATGTAGAGGGACACGGCCGCCTTAAGCCTATCCCCAACCTCACGTGGCCCCTATTCCTCCCTCTCAGACGGACGCTCAGCTGGCCCCACGAGCCCGAGACCCCTCCCCCGAGCCTGAGAGCCCCAGCCGGCCCCCCGCGAGAGCGACGGGGACGTCGGGAACCACGACCACCACAACGGCCACGGCGACGCCGATGCCGACGCCGACGCCGACGCCGACGCCGACGCCGACGACGACGCTGACGACGACGACGACGACGACGACGCCGACGACGACGACGACGACGACGACGACGACGACGACGACGACGACGACGACGACGAACACGCCGACGTTGACGCCGACGCCGACGCCGACGCCGACGCCGACGCCGACGACGACGACGACGACGACGACGACGACGACGACAACAACAACAACGACGACGGCAACAACCACGACGAGCGGCGGCGGCGCGCGACCTCGTGAACCTGCGCGGCGAGCGCCGCGAGGCGGAGGCTCTTCGCGTACGTGGCCTTCTCCTTGAGGGCCTGGCCGCCGCGGAGGGTGGCGACACCAGGGCCAATGCTTGATCGAGAGATCAGGGGATCGAAGAAACCATCCCCCTCCCCCTCCGTCCTCTTGTGCATCCCCTTCGACGCCGACCACGACGCCGACGCCAACGCCGCCGCCGCCGACGGCGCCGACATCAACGGCGATAGCCATGGCTATGGTCGTGCAGCTTACGCGGCCCGCCTCGCCGCGACGCGGCCTGGGAAATAATCAATTAACCGCACAAAAATAACAACTCGGTTTGGCCAACTCTACTCAGCCACAACTGTACCGACCGCGACCGTCAGCCCGAAAATACGGAACACAAAAGCAAGGCAGCCTGCGCCAGACACGACGACGACGGCGACGGCGACGACGACGACGACTGCGACGACGACGGCGATCGCGCACATGGCGACCGCGGGCGCCGCCTTGTAGGCGCTCAAGGCCGGTTTACGCGAGTCGCCGCGGCCGACCTCCAGCGGCGGGAGACGCGCGACGGCGACGGTATCCACTTCTTCATTCTGCCCCTACTCCTTCTCCCCTTTCTCCCCAGCCCTGTCCCGCTCCCCTCCCCTTCTCCTCCTCCTCCTCCTCCTCCTCCTCCTCCTCCTCCTCCTGATGCTGGCAACGGTGTGGAGAGTTGGGAGGACGGCAAATTCGACGGGCCTTTCTGCCAGAACGACCCGCTGGCGCCAAGGAGCAGCAACCAGCTGCCGTCGTAGGAAGGAGGGGAAGGATGCCGCCGTTCTCGTTATCGGTTGGGCACGGAGGACGAGAAAAAGAAGGATGAGGAGGACTCGATGCGACACGAAAACCAGGGCTCGTCCAGCGGTCTCGGCATCGCCTGCGTGCGACGTGCGAGCAGCTTTTCAGGGCGGTGTGGCCAGACGGGGCGCTGCAGTCCCCCAGTTTGGTTGTTTTAGAGCGAGTAGCGATTTTGCACGAAGCTGGGCAGGAAGGAGAATGAGAGGATGGAAGGAAGAAAGAGAATAAGCTAGACGAGAAGGAGGAGGAGGAGGAGTGGAGTGGAGTGGAGTGGAGTGGAGTGGAGTGGAGTGGAGTGGAGTGGAGTGGAGTGGAGTGGAGTGGAGTGGAGTGGAGTGGAGTGGAGTGGAGTGCCAAGACGATCTCTTAAAGGAGGAGGGACAAGTGGGAATGGAGGAGAAAGACTGGACATCGGAATGGAAGGAGTAAATGGGACCAATGACGAAATCGCACAATGGAAGAGAGGGAGGGGGAGGAGGGATGAGGATGGGAGGAGGACCCATCTTATTACTCGCTGCAGAGTTGCAGCTGATGATCCCGCGAACGCGCTCGCGCTGCAGTCGCCACAGGGGAAAGACAAGTCCGCCGACCCTTCGACATGTGTAGGACACTGTCGTCGTCGTCGTCGTCGCTGTCGTCGCCGCCGTCGCCGCTTCGTCGTCGTCGTCGTCGTCGTCGTCGTCGCAAGTCCCAAAGCAATTGAGGAACAAGGGAAAGCGGAAGGTCGTAATGAAAGTCGATCCCCGTCCCTGTTTTCCTTCCCTGACAGGTGGGGTGCGGGGGGGGCGCCCGGTCAGACTCTCGCCCCCCCTCCCCTGGAGTCCCGGCGGGTCCTGGGGCCCCGGGGACCCGGCGGTGCCGGGATGGTCAACAGCGGGGGTCCTGGGAGAGATCCCGCCCGTAGTGGGTGGGGATGCGTCCCAGGTCAGAAAGCCGCCCCCTCGTCCGGGGTCCCCAGGGGTGTCGCCAGCAGGCGTCCCGGGGGAATCCCACCAGCCCTTTGGGCGTGAGCGGTTTAGCGAGCTCTCTCTGTTCTCAACCCCCCTTCTTCCCCTTCGGGGAGGGGTTTACCCCTCCCCCTACCCCCTCCCCCTGGGCCTGGAGAGGGCGTTTCGCGGGTGGTTGGAGGGGTCTTTTTCGACTCCTGGGAGGGCTAAAATTCGACACCCCTCACGAGGATTCTGGCCCCGACGGGGGGGGGGAGAAAAAAATGCTCGCCCCATCTGTGATCGATCGCCCGACAGATGGCCCCAAGATTCCTCCCAGACCCCTCCCAAAGAGCCCCAAGAGGCCCCAAGAGGCCTCCAAGAGGCCCCCAAGATGCCCCCAAGAGGCCCCCAAGAGGCCCCAAGAGGCTCCCCCGAGGCACCCAAGACGCTCCTGGAAGCCCCTGGAGCCGCCAAGAGGCCCCCAAGACGCCCCAAACGGCCTCCAAGAGGCTCCCAAGAGGCCCGAAGAGGCTCCCCCAAGGCACCCAAGACGCTCCTAGAAGCCCCTGGGGCCGCCAAGAGGCCCCGAAGACGCCCCAAAAGGCCTCCAAGAGGCTCCCAAAAGACATCTACTACTACTTCTACTACTACGACTACTACTACTACTACTACTACTACTACTACTACTACTACTACTACTACTACTACTACTACTACTACTACTACTACTACT